ACACATATCTAACCAAATAAGTTCTGCTTCGGTTTCCGCGTCGAATCCATATGCCACACATGACTGAGCCACCTCAGGTGTCTCAGCAAAAGGATGCAGTCCACTGTATACATCCCACTTTGTCGCAGCACTTCCGTGTCTGCAACTTTGTCATACTAACCGATGCGTAAAATCTGTGATAGACACTGTTGATGGAACCGCTCGAGATATCACACATCTCGCCGGTACATCGTCCACCTTTCGCTGTCGTATAGAAGAAGGGACAACACCATGCACTTAGACACCATCAGGTTCTTGCCAACGGTAACTTGATGGTTGTTTCCCACATTATACTCTAGCTTTCCGAATGCCGCCGCTGCCTTCGAGAGGCGGATACGTAACTCAATGTGTAGCTGCTGGTCAGTCGACAACAAAAGCCCGAGTTAGAAGTAGCGGTAGTTTCCAATACGCCATCAGCAATGATGATTGAAGACGTCCTTGTAGATTGCGCCTCCGGTGAGGGATGAAAGAGACAGACAGTTTTGTTTGTTTTGATGGTGAGCCCGAATTTTGCGGATACCAATGCCAGCGTACTACTCACGTGCTGCAGCGCATCTGCGCTGTGCGAAAGCAGCGCACACTCGTCAGCGAACAGCAACGTACCGATAGTGGTCTCACAGACTAGAGTTCTCGAACCGAAACAACGGATGTTCAGCAACCCACCATCAATACTATGCTCCACACGAACACCGTAAGCACAAGCCACATCAAAACCACAAGACACCATGGCATGGAGATGTATACTAAACAGGGCAGGAGCTAAGGCATTGCCTTGCCTCACACCAGAGATAACTGCAAAGCCATCTGAGGTCTTTCCACTCAGGTGCATCCTCACCCGCATACCACTGTGCATACATTCAATTAAACTTAAAAATTTACTTACCCAACATCAGCCACAATGCTTCGCCGTTCACCGTATCAAATGCCTTGGTGAAAGCAATAAAAAACGAGTACAATGGCTGGTGTCGTTCTCTACGCTTCTCATGCAACCGAATTTGCTGTGAACGCTATGATTGTAGCGCTGTGACCAGAAAGGAATCCACCTTGCTCGTCCGCCAAGTTCGATTCCAAAACGTGACTGACGAGGCGGTTGAGCAGGATTCGGGCAATCACACTGCCTATAAAGTTAGAAAGTTGACGCCACGACAATTCGTGCAACCTTGCTTGCTTTCTTTTCCCTTGCATAGTGGTAGCAAAATGGCATCCTTCAGCTCAGGAGGCAGCTCCTACTCAGTCCACACAAGTTGAAGCAAGTGGTGCAGCGCAGTCACGAACGCAGATCCGCCGTGTTTCAATACTTCAGGTGGGATCCCGTCGGCCCCAGCACACTTGCCGTTTCGCAGCTGAGCCAGTGCTCTCTGCGTCTCATCCAGTGTCGGCGTGTCCGCCAGACTCGCCTTCACATCGTGCTGCTTGAGGCCATTCAAAGTAGGCCAGTTGATCACTGAACGGTTGTTCAAGAGACAGCCAAGTGTTTTCGCCAGATCTGCATTATGTCTGCAGTCTGTGTCAGGTAGCGCCTGAACTACCATCGATCAGCGTCCTCAGCTGCTCCAACCTCAGTCCATACACCGCGTTCCATAAGTAAAAGAACTCCGTGTGTTGGCGGAGTTCAGCGGAGCATGCCATCTGCTTCGCCTTCTCCGTCCACCATACACTTTTAATGCAACGGAGCTCTCGGGTCACTCGTCCTCGAATCGCCAAAACGTTCGCTTCTTCATCAAGTTACTGGGAACTGCCACATATGCAGCAAACGCTGCATTCTTCTCCGGCCCCACTGCACCAATTGTTGCACTTTTCACATCAAAACAATCAGGTCGCTTACATTTTGTACGCCCGATGGTCTCCTCGGCAGCAGCTATCGCCTGCTCGCAAATAGGCTGCCACAGGCCGCCCACTGTGGCAATGCATTCCACAACATACAGGCGTCCAGCCAACACATTGTCCAGCTCCATACGTTTCTCCACAGCACCGAGGGAGAAAATGTTAAATATACGCCGGTTCACGGCGGGAGGGCAATCCATAGATTTACGAAAATATATGTACAGTTTGGTCCACACCAATTTGTGATCAGTGTCACACTCAGCTCCACGCAGTACATGTGTCATGCGCACTTCACGCATATCACGCTGACGTACGATGACATAGTCGAACAGGTGAACTTGACCACTCCGTGGGTGCGTCAAATTTGCTATAGCACTCACACTCAGTGCAAACCCAGTTTTCGTGAGTGGCACACATTGACAGCAGCCTGTCACCGTTCGCATTCGCTGAACCAAGGCCATGCGGACCGATAACATTTGTCCACACCGATGCATTACGCTCAACGTGCGCGTTGAAATCACCCAGCAGAAATAGTCGGTCGCTGCTCGCCACAGACCCTATCACGGAGGGCCATCGAGTATAGAATTGATCACGCGCGTCATCAGGATAACACATGGTCGGACCGTACGTGCTAATAACGGTGGCAAACTTACCTCTTCCGAGTCGTAGGCGAACAGTCATCAGTCGCGCGCTGATGCCTGTTGGTTCACCCACCAGCTGGCCATGGAGGCGATCGGATATTGCAAATCAGACCCCATGTTCACGTGGTGCTAAGGTGGTGTTGCCCACCTACTTGAACGTGTAGCCATACCTACTTCATGCAACTTACCTCTCACAGCGAGCAGTCTCCCTGAACGCCGCAATATCGATGTTGCAGCGCATCAGTTCCTTCGTGACCAGTGCAGTGCGTCGCCCAGGGCGCTCACTTTATTTCCGGTCCAGTAGTGTGCGCACGTTCCAGCAGCTGAAGCTGAGTGCTTTGCGCGCATGCGTACGATTGCATTAGTGCGCAATCGCACGTGATGTGGTGGTTGTGCTTCGGACATTTGCTTGGAGGACTCCGCCCGGAGTCTTTGGTTCAATGACCTGACCACAAGGCAGTGAGTGATTTAAGGGTTCGTTTGTGGCTTGATAGTCGAACGCAAGATGCAGTGGGGAGCAAATTCAACTCGGGAATGTGATGGCAGAGACAGATTTGGATTTGCTTGAGGTCAAGCCCACGCGGCCTTTGAGGTACTGAAATATTCATATATGTTTTGCGACCATAATAGGATAAGCACCTGCAAATTCGGCCAGACGCAGAAGGGGTTTTGGAAAGTTTGCAGCAGTTTGACTAGGGGCTGCTTAGCTTGGGGCAGGCAGTAGCAAATCATTGATAACCCAGAGATGCCTTCCCATCGCCTCTTATATATATATATATATATATATATATATATATATATATATATATATATATATATATATTTGGGGCGGTTATACCTACGTCCTGCGTGTGCTTAACTAACGTTTCCCACGCCGTGCGCTTTCCGCTCCTGCTGGTTCACATTGGGAGAAGTCGCGTGGGGAACAGCGACCATTTGGCGACAGATTAGGAAATAGTTGATATCTTACTGCCCACCGCTCAACCCGAAATACTTTCCAGTTTCGGACCCAAAGATGAAGAGTGTCAGTGGACTACAACTCTTAGAGCTGACACAAGGCTTGCTACAGTAGAACTTAGGTGTGAATTTCTGCCAATGAAATAATTATCTTTAAAAAGAAACAAGGGTAATAGAGAGTGTGAAAAATAAAATAGTATGTGTTCTTTGTAGCTCTTTCTCTCTGTTTATTAATTTGCATGGAAAACTTATTCCCAGTTTCAGGCTTTTGAATGGCCGCCATACTCGCAATTTATCTCTTGGGCAGTTTCTGCAGGTAGTATCATTTTTGCCCACCGCAGACCCATGTCAGTCTTCAGCAGTACCCCGGTACGCAGTAGGGACGTTTCGCTGTGGCACAACCACTGTCAGTTGCACGTGGGCCAAGGAGATTGCGAGGGTGGTGCGGTCCCCTATGCAAGCTTAAACCCACGCCCTTGAATCATATTGCAGGCTTGTGACCCTCAAGTCTACGGGCCGGCACACCTTAGACTGTGTGGGGAGGGTTTAACCATTCGAAACATATAGTGCAGAAGACGGTAGCCTGCAAGTCACTCATGGAAACACGTGCAGAATCTCAGTTAGACCAATGAGCACCACAGTTGGGCAAGTATATTTAGTTGTGCGTAATGGTTCGGAGCAAGTGCTTAACTATGGTGAGCCCAACCACCCTGTTTGCAATCGTCTACTTAGAGAGCCAATTAACCCTAATCTTTCGGTACCTAGGTTTGTAATTACCTAGCGGCTGTTGCTGGGCTCTGATTACGAGTCCAAATTAGTGCGCTGTATGTATCAATGAGGTCACCTTCTTAAAAAAACGGTTGAAAAGAAAGCAGCTTGATTAAACGCCGGTGTGATCAGCCTTACAGGAAACAAACAGCTACTTTATAATAATCCTCGGTAAAATAGCACACAAAGCAAACTAACATGGCAGAAACGATCAAACTTAAAGTCTCTAACGTTATCTGCCTTACCGAACTTTCGAAACAGCCGCGGCATAATCTACGAGTAATTCGGCTGCAGTTCAAATGAAAACGAAGTGCAAATTGGGTAATCTTTGTGGACGGCTGGAAGGCTGGAACAAACTTCCTACTAACTTTTTGATTGTAACCCTTCAAAAAGTTGAAAGAATCCAGAGTACATTTGTGGGTTCACTTCATGGAACTGATGTGTTTCCCTTAGCATACACTGCTTGGTATTTTTTATAATTTGCAGTATTTTGCTATGGCACTGATGAAAAGCATTCCCACCGAAAGAGGTGTGTGTAGTCAAACTTTCAATGGCTGGAGAAATTGGATTACTTAAAATCCTGTAAAACGGGGAGAAAGTTGCGTAATTTCCCGTCCATGATGATTGATCTGAGCGGCTCAGGTTAAGTCAGCTGGAGGGCAATACAAGCCTTCAGCAACAAATGTCCCATTTCGTGTCCCAGTAAGCAAACGTCTAATCGATAGCTATCAACCATATTTGGGGTGTGACCAAAATATCTTGGGGACTCACTCGATTATGCCGCGCGGCCCACTCTACTCAAATATCGACCCAATGGATTTGAACTATAATTCACGTGTCTAATCCATTGCTTCTTTCTGTGGCCTAATTTCACAAAGGCACCTAGCACATGTCACACTATGTTTACAGTCCCGATGTGAAGTTGAAACTACACTACCACAAGCAAAACAAATACAATAGTGTAGTCCAAATTTATGTTGCCACGTCCTACAGTTGAAAGTTGAAAGCAAAATTTACAGCAAGTGAGATGAGGAAGTACATGATTTTCGTGGTTGAATTTACTCTTCGACTTGTTTTCAAAAAGATTCGTCGCAGCTAGACTCTGTCCGACAGCCAGCACATATCCAGGAATGCGCAAGTCCTCTATTTCCCCTAATGGGTCTCGTCACTAGCTGGAATCCACCGGATCCGGGAGGATCCGGCATATAGTGTGAAAACTTCTCGGATAAGTTAAGCTAATTTTTAGAAATGATATGCATACAATTTTACAGGTTGATCAATAGGGCTAGCCGTGTAGCTACAGGAGCATGGAGTTGACTTGAGTGAGCAAAGAAAGTAGAGGAGTAAATGTGCATCGTGCCCCTTTTGCTCCTTATTGTTTTATAGTACACCATGAGTACTCAGCTACCTTGTTCCCACATGCTGCGATTACTCAGCAAACTCTCCCGAATATATCCCTAACAGTTTGTTGATTATACCCTTGTAAGAATACGTCTGACAGACCCATGGTTACCTATCAACCTATATCTTGTGTGTCTGCCAAGCAATCTTAACAGCTTTCCGGACGCATGTTAAATAATCGGTTACTCTGTCAGATCCATACCAAAGTCGGATATAAAGTCCAACATCTTTAGGGCGAACAAACCTTCTACTGCTTCCGAGGAATTGAGGAGCAATTTGTTCATTTTCGAATGATTTGTCACAAGCATTTTAACGTTCTCAATTCGATTAAATACCTTGGACTAGTACGGGTGTTTTGAAATGTAGGAAGAGGGAGTGAACCGCTCCGCACCATTGTATCACGCACCAGACTCCGAAGGCTGGGCCACGTGCTGCGCATACCATCAGATTGACCAGCATTGTGCGTTGTTTGTGCGTCCGGGGTGTGGATGGAAGAAGTGGAGGGTAAGCCAAACGAGGATGTGGTCTAAAAGAATGCAATCCCTCACTTCGTATTTGGCGTCAGTTGATGTGTCCATACTACCGGAGTGAAGTCAGAGGGACGATGAACACGTTTGATTGGATATACCAACTGACATGGAGAGGTGTTGACCCAAATGGCGTTTGTGTTGTGAGTCTCTTTGTCCATCCCCTCCCTTTTATCCTCCCTCTCCAACAACGATCTCAACCCAAGGTATGATGTGGTTTCTGCATTAATTTCCTTTCCTAGCTTTTTCGTCTGTAATGTTTTATCTCCTATCATTTTTGTATTGCACCACATTAGCTGCGGAGTGTTACTCACCTGCGGCTAACATATATTGCTGATAATGATGGTGATGATTGAGAACGTCATACTAGTTGGTATGTCTGTCGATTCCAGGTATAGAAAAGGTCATTGCATTGAATTCCCTTTTAGACAAACGGGATTTCCAAATGGCTTCGGCGCAGGAAATAATCCCGACAAACTGGATGATGAAACAAGTATTCGACTAACGAGTGAAATGCTATTATCCCCGTAAAAGTGAAAGTGCGGCAAACAGTTCTTTGCCCCGCTAAAGCTACCTGAGAAGTTCAAAGTGGGAGTTAGAGTACGTGCCATGTGATTGGATTACGACACACATTCTCCACTGAGACCGCTGTTCACTTTGAAGTAAATCTCATTTATTCCGATCACAAGCATCGTATCGGATATGTGGTGCTGCTTCTTCTAACGCTGTTTGCGTGAGTTCTAACTGGCGTAACCGGTCGTTACAGTTGACCTGGACAACCTCGGCTTTTTAGTTACGAACAAGAACAGGTAACTGCGGCTCTGCACCTACTACCGAAATCTGAACACAGCCATACGCAAAAGATCGTAGCAGCATGAATGGTACTGTGGTCACACTCGCCACTTCCCGATGGTTTTCTACTTTCTGCTTAGCATCGGAATACTGGCAAGTAGGGCCTCATCCGCATGACCGACGTAACTGCGCTTATTATCCCGGCTGGCCAATATGAATTCCGGACCACGCTCTGTGGCCTGACCAATACCCCTGTGTCTCAAAACGGTTGATCTATACCGTGTTTTGGAACTGATATCAAAAGCCGGCTAGCTTATTCGGATATATGATGGTGTACGGAAGCTCGGAAAACGAACACGACAAGAACCTAATGCTGCTTTTTGATTGTCTCATTCGCCTAGGATTGAGAAAACCTAGGATTTGAGAAAGCAGCTAGCGCACCAAAGTCACACTGTGTTCGAGGAATGTGTACGCTGCGATTCAACCAAGGTCGAAACTAGTCATCTGTTCCATAAAACCTAGACGAACTACCTAGTCTCCTTTGCGTCGATTCTTATTACTGAAGATTGTTCCGAGGCTTTGCAACTACTGCTACTTCTTTTAACGAACTTCTAATGGTAGGTAAAAGATTTATTTGGAGCGCCGCTCATAACAATCCGTTCGGTAACCTTTTTATAAAGCATGGGTTTTAAGCTTCTCATATACTCTATCCTCATCGGCTCCTTGCATTCCTCTTACGCAAGCCATTGATACGTGCACTAGAACTGCGCTGTCACAGTGTAAGGCAGATGGGACGGAGTAGGCTAATGTTTATGCCATTGGGATCTTGTCAAGTAGAAAAGGCAAGTCTTGCACTGCATGGAAGGAAAAACTTGCTTTTGGGAAACAGTTTTGTCACGACCATCACCATCATCATTATACACGTCAGCTAGAGGTGGGAAACACCTCAGCTACTGTGCCATAATACATAAATGAAAAAGGAAAATAAATACAAAAATTGCATGCCAGCTGAACTACCAACAACGGATAGGCATCGTTCCGGTAAGCTCTCTGCCGGCTACTAGACAAAAAGAAAACAAATTATTTTGTTTTACGCTAAGAAATGAGATCATAGGTGGAGGGGGAGGCTAAAAGGAATGGGGAGGGACGAAGAAACTCACAGCAGGAACGCCACTGAGGTCGGCTCTTTGCCATGTCAGCAAGTGTATCCAGTCACACGTGTTCACCGTCCTTCGGACCCCAACCAGGGAGCCGTGACGCTCCAACCGAGGCCAGCACAGAAGTGAGGGCCTTCATTCGTCTCGACCAAGTCATCGCTTGGCCACCCCTCCTCTTCTTCCATCCACATCCCCGGTGAGCAAACAACGCACGTCGTGGAAGTCGATGGGCTGGCATACGCAACACGTGGCCCAGCCATCGGAACCTGGTGCGTGAAATGACGGTGCTGAGCGGTTCACTTCCTTTTCCTGTGCCGTAAACAAGGAGTCGTACACGCTCGTTACTGACGCGGTGTTCCCACCAGATATGAGCCAAACTGCGAAGGCACCGGTGGTCGAACGTAATTAGCCTCTTTATGTCCGCCGATCTTAGGGGCCAGGTTTCGCAACCGTACAGTAGGGTCGAACGTACCGCTGCATTGTACACTCTACCCTTCAGGGCGAGAGTAATGTCGCGCCGCCGACCATCTTTGTCCCGGACTCATTGTATGAACTGACCACCAATCTTTGGTTTGGCTTCAAAATATCCGTGACTTACAGGAAGGAATACCCCGGTCGCAAGTTTCTTCGAAGGTCGTTCACCTCGGAAGATGCGGTTTGGCTTAAATCATTGGTGAAACATGTGGTAGTGTCGGTGAAGTTCAACCGTAGCTGGGATAGCTCTATGTAGTACAGGATGTATCCTCGGACATCACCTACCGAATCATGAAACAAGGCTCACCAGACGCATTGACAATCGTGCACTTCAATAGGCTGAAACCTGCTGCTTCTGTAGCAGGTGCTGAGGATATCGCCTGTTACAATAGGGACTAAGGTAACAAAAATGAGTTAAATTAAATGGTATCACCTTCTAGTTCAAGTCGCGGCACCAGGTAATGTGGTCGTGAAGAGCAATCGCTGAACTGCGAAAAGTACATAGACGCGTAGCATTGTTTCCTCACGCCGTTCGACCTGCCCGCGCATTGTGTCACAATTACAACATGCCACGCTGTCGTCCTGGTGTGCCCCCACAACTGCATGTTTCCGTCGCGTATTGCTGTTTCGTTGCCCACAAGTATTCTCGAACCGTATTCTCTCTCTTGCCTTAAACAGTTAGCCCTAGTGAACACATTAAAACCCCGTAATTTGATCACTCAAAGGGATAAACCAAAGTGGTCAACAAAAGGATGTGGTCAACAAATGGATGCCCTATATGAAATCTTGGCGTACCTCACATCCACTTTGTGAACAGTATAGCATGTGATCTGTTTTAACGCACACTCTGTTTCAACTATACTGGATGAGTTCTTACGTAAGGGTAAATACGTTATCACATCCCTCCAGTACTCAAGTATAAGCTACTGGATGTTTCTAATTGTCGTGTTGCTAACATCAGAATACCACTGCAATGAGGCTGGACCTTACAGTGGTGCGATGGTCGGTGTGCCTCAGTGATCCATTGAGCTATGCTGCGTGGTGCTCTTTTCTGCACCTTCAGAGCCACTCATACCAGATTGGTCAATGGTTAGTTGCCAGAAAACTCAGCCTCCTTGTCCTACAGGTTGGAATTTGGAATGAGGGTGGCTCCTTATTCCATAAAACGGACTCCTTGTAGCCCAATGCCAGACCCACTACCTTGCGGTCAGGTTTTTGAACCAAAGGCTTTGCATGAGAACCGTAATCATTCTCCTGTCTATGCCTAGGCAATCTGACAGTATCCTGCCCACGCAATACAATGAATCTCATTTCAAACAAATTTCTGATGCTCTGGCCACCGCAGAGTCTAATCAACGGTGCCCTATCTGCTACATCGAGCGAGATGGATAGGGATTTAGATCAATCCTTTCCGCCTTCTTATTCCCCCTCTTACGTTTTTTCAGCCTTATCGTCCTGTTCTAGCTTCACTTTTATCCACCCTGTTTCAACCCCCCAATACTCGGCCCTCCCCACCTTGCTTCAATAGTCACTTGTTC